GCAAAGCCACTGAAAAAGCCAAATTTGTCAGATCAACCCAAGCACTGTAACAGCAATCTGAAAGCCCATGTGACCAATACATCCCATTTTACTAGTGTAATGGTTTCACATTCATAGCAGCACTTGCATCTCCAGATCAGAGAGACACAACCCACAGTTACGTTAGAAAAGACCTGGAAGCTACATTAGAAAAACACAAAATCTAGAAGATGAAGAAATAAAAAGAAAATAATAAAAAAGAACAAATCTCCTGAGCAGATTCAGTTATGAGAATCCTCATTGTAAGACAGCAATTTGCAGTAACAATATTTAAACTAATTACACAGAAAATTACTTCTCTGTAGTTATTTAACACACTCGAAGTCTGACACTCCCCGATACTCTGTCAGACTTCAACAGGTACATAAGGGCACTTGTCAGCAATGCCAGCTTTCAAATGTTTCTTCTACAAAACTGTTAACTTTAACTTGTATTATTAAATTCAATAGTAGGCCATTCAACATAATAAATTTAGGTTCTGAAATGAGACACGCTCCTTTCGGCTCAGCTAGGCACGTGAAATTTCCCCTCACACACAGCAAAGATACAGCTGGACAGCTGATTGTATCTGGCCATCCCCAGGTGAATCAGATCCAGCAGAGAAAAAAAAATAGTAGTGTGAGGATTTAAAGCCATAACAGTGACATTTCCCTCCTACTTACTCTCTTTCTTGGCATCTTTCTTCACCTTTGTAATAGAAAGGGTGTGATGCTTCTTGCTGATGTTCTGTGAACGGTTTTGCACCCTTAACTTAGAAAAGAGATGAGACACCCATTTGTTCTGCTCTGGGGATAGAGGAGAATTCAGGAAGGAATGTGACACCTCCACTCCCAAATAAAAAGCAAAACCAACCAAACAAAACCTTCAAAGAGCCTTTAAAAATTTCCTGAAGATCACCAGGTTAAGAATTCATTTCCTCTCCGCTGCAGCATTCAGTAGCTTGATCCCATTTCTGTTCCAGTGCTGCACTGCCGTGGGGCATGGAGTCAGGTAAGGGATCGGCCTCCGCTGTGCCCTTTCAGGCAAAGGGTAGCTCCACGGATGTAAAAGCCCCTCACTCCCATCTGTACCCTACAGACTTGGTTACACTGGTGAGAAGTTAAGACACAATAAGCATCGTTCACCCACAAAGCCGGTGAGCATCCTGGTCAACTGCAGAGGCATAAATCACCTGCTGAAGGTGGTACAGAACACATCTAGAACAGAACTGACATCTCCATTTGCAAACCTTGATGTGCTTTTTCCTCCCCTCACTCCAGAAAACAGCATCAACTGCACCAAGTGTTTCCCTCTTACCACCTTCACAGCCACAAACTCCAGCATCAGCTATACCCAAACCCCCACGCTCTGGTGGTCTTACACCATTAGATGAGCTGTGCATCAAAAGCGTATTCAGTGTAGCTGCACGCTACGTTTAACTCATCCTTTATTTGCTCCCTCCAAAAGGCTCAGAGAGGAAAAGCTCAGACAACAGAAGCAGCAGCAGGAGGAAAGACTGCAACGGGCCATGGAAAGATCACAGGCAACTATGAAAAAAAAGGCAAGTGCAGTAATCCATAGGAACACCTCACCACAACAGCCCAGCGCAGAGAAGCTGGGGGTACTTGAACATCGAGCATTTAAGGGAAGAGTGTTACTGGGGCCTCCACAGCTGGGTGGGGATGGCACCCACATCAGGTGTAGCCCAATTCCAATTTACAGCACTGATGCAACTTAAGCAACTGCTGGGAAGTCAGTTATGCTGCCAGTTATTCCAGCTCAGCGTCCTTCCTTCTCCTATCCCTGTGTCTTGACCACACGGCCCCCTCCATTGCACCAATGTTCTCATTAAGGTAATTTCAACTTGTTAACTTGACAGTATTAAAAAAAAGCATGAAAATCAGCAAATGAGGAACCATGCAGCAGCAGGACGCTCCCCACAGCAGCAAGCCCCTGGAAGAGCTCAGCCGTACCACCAAACCATACCTCTCTTGGCACGTTCTGCGTTACGCGTGCCTCCTGCTCCACATTCCACAGGTTAACAGGACAGCGAGGGCAGCCCGGTGCTCAGTCACACACTTCCAACCTCCCATCCTCCTGAGGTCATACAAATAAGGCTTTAGTCGGAAAACAGTCACAAGTGGAATAGTACTTCGTAGAAGTGGAAGCACTAGCACAGCACTGTCTTCAGGTGCTCAACACTCATTTTTTAATAGAAAAAACACACTTAATAGGCACACTGAAACCTGCCTAGAAAACAGCAAGGGGCCACAGCCCTCACAGCAGGAGAGCCCCGTAGCATGAAGCAGCTTTAAGAGCAGCTGCACAATTCAGGTACGCTACTCTGACACAGCACTGACATGTGCCTCTTCTTCCTCTGCAGAGCAGCAGGAGGCTGGTGTTTCGTTCCAACCCACCTGCCAGGAAAGAGAAGAAAAAGCAAAGCCAAGAACAAATGGATAAGGAGAAGGAGGAACAACTCTATTATTTCACTTGACAGCACAGCCTTAACCACAGCACGGAGGGCTGATGCTGCTAGAACACTTTTTCATACATCTACACTGTTTATCTTTGGTCAGTTGATAAACTTCATGGTCCCATGAAATTCCCTATCTTCTACTCCAAGATCCCAGGGAAAGCTGTTGTCAGGCAACCACTCTCCCCTCCCATTGATCTTCTGCCTAAGAAAATAAAATTCTCTCTCCTTCTGCTTCTCAGGCTCCTGCTGGAAACAATACTTTTCTCATTCAGTTTTTGACGTGAATAGTGCTATCCCTACAAACCTGACCAGTGAGATTTATCGCAGTCCTGGGTAACAATCTTTGTTATGGCATGACTAAGCCAGGCACCTACCAGACATTTATTATAATCACAAATCTGTTGCAGGACTATAAAAATCAAAGGCTACACTTTAATCCAAAGGATGGGTTTCATTAGGGACTTCAGCCCACTACTGTGGAGAAGACAGAATTGAAGGAAAACCAGAAGCTCTGCAGAAATCAAGATGCTAACAATTAGCTTGATGTCAGATGCATCCATACAAAGAACAATACCCAGTGACAAACTGACCATAAAAAAAGCTTTATTAACCCTTTTGCACCAGCAGTTGTTCAGGTATCCATTGCCAGCAATGGAGTTCAAGCCAAGTGATCCAATTTTCGGCCCCAAGAGGTTAGCACTTTACATTCACTTACAAAGCTGAGTGAGGTACATTTTCAGAAGTAGAAAGATTCGGTTGCAAGTCCCATAAAAAGATGGAGTGTTCCTTGGCCATTTTAATAGATTAAGAACTGGTATGGTCCTTGAGAACAGAAAAATGCAGGCATTGGGAGCTCGAGGTGTCTCAGCTTCCAGGGAGAGCACGGTGACTGCTAGCACAAGACCCAGTAGTCCCCCTCCTCAACCTTTCTACCTCTCAGGAGTGGACTCCGTGCAGGTAGAAGATCTCATCTACCACTTAGTTTGGTTTGGAAACTCAGCCTCAGGGGATTAAGACATTCCCTGGGCATACGCTGTAAACTCAGGATGAGAGGAACAGCGAGACCTCTACACTCAGTTAAGATAAAGATAAAAAAATAAAACTGGTTCAACCAGAGGATAAAATACTGCCTACAAGTCAGGATCTGAAGTTGAATGTAACCTGTATACTTCATTTTCTCCCCAAGTCTTCAACAAAAAATGCATTTATCTGGACACATACATAGTTCAAAAGGCACAGGAAGTAAAAGCATTTCTGAACGACCTCGTGTGAATTCAACATCAGTATAACTGTAAAATAAATAAATATGTGCAAGATTAGAAAGATCACAATGTTCTTCTGCACGACATATCTTATTTTGTAAAAAAAATACACATACGTGCATACACACACCTCATTGAGAATAAAAAACAGTACATACACCCTTTTATCAAACTCCTATACATAATTTTATAGGCATTCAGTACATCACCATAAGAAACATTTAAATTACTACCTTAAAATGTAACCAAAGGGTTGGGGTTTTTTTTCTATACAACCCTATACATATTTAGGTGTCTGCAATCCAGATAAGTACAGTACGTACAACCTCTCCCCCCGCCCCCAAGAGAAACTGCAGTTTTTCAGTGGGGAAAATCTTCCCAGGTAACAGTTCTTTTCCTCTCATAAAATACTCTGACAACTGCATGTTCTGTAAACCAGCCAGAAGCTCCACGTGCATGTGACACTCTGGGATATCAATAAAGAACAAGTGTTAACAGTGTTCAATTAAAAAAAAAAAACCAAACCAAAACCCAAACAAAACCCGAAATAGAAAGATAGTGGCCAGTTTACAGGTAACTTGGCAGCAGTTTATAGATGAGATAAAATCAAGGTGCTTAAATTTATGTGGCAGTGAACATTCCTCCCAAAAAAGGGAACACAAAGATAAAATGAACCTCTCTCAGATGCTGTTGGACTCTTAGCTAATCACTTACAGTGAGTACAGTTCTATTGCAGTTTTCTTTTTCAAGTTTTGCTGGAAGAATTCAGCAAAGTATTTGGGACGCAGGAGCAAGGAAAGGGAGAAACTCAACATGAGCTACAAACTGATTCACAGCTAAGTTAACATTTAGAATCTAGCTTTCTAAAACAAAGATTTTAGAGCATCTCATTTTCATGGCATAGGACATTAATTTTGTTACATGTGACACTTTATTCCAAGTTTTCTGCCAAAACACAGGGGCCGAAACAATTATTTTTTTGTGTGTGTGAAAAACACTTGCAAATTTTAATTCTTAATTCCTCAATGCCACTGGCTCCATGAGGAGACCAACAGAAGGAAAGTTTTAACTGTCATAGGCAGGACTATAAATTTGTACTTGTTAGCTGTAGAATACTTGCTTTCCTGTGAAAACAGTAAATATTACCTCAGTTTGAAGTTTAATACAGTACTTCTCCCTGAAACAACACTGTACAGCAGTCTGCCTCAGTCTCTCCAGCCACAAGGCAGACAGCGTATTTAACACAGGCACATCAAGTGGGATTTACATTTTTTTAAGAGAATCTTTCAGCTGCAACTGTTCTTAGCAAGTTGCAAAGAGTGCAGCCATAATCCAGTACTCTTAGTCTTCATATTTTCCTTGGAAAAAGACCCACACAGTTATCTCACTCTGGCAAGACATGACAGCCCAATTCATTTTCAAGTAACTGTTCTTAATAACGGTCACTCCAGATCCTGTAAGTTTATTGTGCTTCCAGTGAACTGAGAGTTATCAGAACCTGCATCATCTTCAGTGGAATTGTGTGGCTCCTGTTAAAGCAAACAGACAACATGAAGAGTTCAGTGTTTTCACCTCTAGATGCTTTTAACGCTTGTCAGTAAGATTATCTTGACATTTATCCAAGACCAGAGAAATGCTTTGAACAGTTTAGAGGAAACCCAAAGCTTTCCTACTTTAGGGACGCACTCAAACAGTGCCGCTCCAATTTTAGTTTGGAACACTTCAGAGGAGCATTGCTAATGGAGATAAATTTAAAATCATCAACTATTTGCTTTTCCTCTATTAACTGCCTACCATGGCCAATGATCCTAGTACTTCTAGGTTTATCACAGTAAAGTGCTCCTCTCAAATACAAAAGCTTTATTTTTTATCCAGGAGACGCACACTTGGTAAGAACAACTGCATTGCAGAGTTTATCAAAACCAAAGCCCCTCATGGTCAAGTAGAAAATGTGATTTATGTAGAAGCTAGTCATTCATTGTTGTTCAGTTCTCAGCTGCTCTTACTAACACACAGTTTACTGGAACAGCAGATAACAAAACATTTACGCAAGAAGCTATACAAAGCTTTCTGCATTCAAACAACACTGAAACTCAGCAGTTAAGAAAGGCAAGCAGTGAAACCGAAGTCTGTGGAAGCAAGCAGCCTTTAATCTAACTGCCATTCCCATATAGACACTGCTCTGAAATCTAGGCTCAAGATTTTATGTCCCACCTTCCACCCTTCCCGTAGCCTGTTACATATCGATTCATTAAAATCTGCAGGGTAGGATCAGGAAAACAAGGACAGGGCACTTCAGTAATAAATGAGTAACATTTAGTTATTCATTACTCGGTAATTGAGGAAGAAAAACATCCACCTATGACGCGTCAAAGGTTGGTAACATACACAAGATAAATCTTGCAGTGCAGGTCTCTGCTTACTGCTTCTTGTAAGTGAAATTAAACTCCCAATGGAAAACAAGGTATTTTCATTAGACAGAACACCGGTGTTCACAGTAAACTGTCTTCACTTTCAAGCTAGGCAATAAAACCCGATGACTCTCACACACAGTACCTGAAGTATGTGAACAGGTAAATCCACAGTAAGCTGAGAATGTGACGAGGAGGACTGAGAGCTCAGTTGAAAGGGCAAATCTCCCTCTCCCGGGGAATCATCCTGTGAATACAGAAACACAATGCAATTACAAGACCCCCAAGCATCTCAGCACATTAGCACAAATTTCACTCAGCCTCGCTGTACTAGTAAGGCCTAGATCCACAAAGATACATGGAAAGCTAACTGCCACTTAAATCTGAACCTAGCTCAGCGTACAACCTATTATACTATCATAATCAACTTGGAAAATTGGTACGATCTGAAAAGGAAGGAAAGAATGGTTCATCTTCCAACAGACTTGAAAACATGTGACAAGTTTCATCATATTGTGTGAAGCTGATACTTAACATTGAAGTTACAAACATTTACACCCGTCAGAAAACTAGACAGAGGGAGAACTCTGTCCATAGCTTCCTCCATACCATTATGTTGTTAGGAATAAAGTGGAATGAACTTACGCTCTCTTTGGATACTATACAAACATACATCTGGCCAAAAATGTACTACCCACCATGCTCCACTAATCAGCCCACACAGATGACCAGGTGTATTTAGAAAAAAATTGTAATCTTTATTTCAACAATTTAGAGAAATGATAGTTTAGGCTGAAACTTCATTTTGCAGGAATCTTTTTATGTCAGTCTCATTTACCTTGTAAATTAGAAAGAGGTGGAGTAATGTAAGAATTTGGGGGGGGTGTCAACAAAGAAAAAGACTGGAGAAAAAAGTCATACTCCCATAAATCCCCTCAGGTAACGCATGCTAGCAGTCTTCTCCTTTTGGAAGAGGAATTACCCCATACTTTGGGACAGGAATGTAGCATCTGCTTTGCTGCTCTCGTAACTGCCTGTCCAAACTGGGAAGGATCTGATCCTTGAAGGATCAGAACTCTCACATGCAAAACAGAAGTTTGCTAAAAGTCTTAGATCCATCACGGTGCTTTCTGCACCAAGTGTATTCAGCCTAAGAAGCTGAATAGGATATTCCCTACAGTTACAGTGCCCATACGTTCCAGGCTGAACTGAGTATTAGTATTAAACCACATAAAAACACACAATGCATCTGTTTGGACCCCCAGCAGTTGTATGATTGAACCAGCTCTGCTGTCAGGCATTTCTAGGCCTCTGTAAAGCCCATTTCATATACACTTCCCAGGAAAGTGCTTCTTGCGGGGAAATGTCCTAATGGACATGGTACATGCAGACCTCCAAATCCCACCTAGGGGCAGTAGTACCTGAGTTCACAGATAGTCAGATTCTTCCATATATGTGCCAGTTTGGGTAGCAGAGAAGATGAGAATGATTTTTGTCCTCAGCTCTTACCTGAAGAAGCTGGATCTGCACATACTGGGCTCCAGTGGCAGGGTCCCTTATGGTCAGCCCTCCGTTTGGCAGAACTATGTTGCCACCCAGTCGACTGCCAGGAGTGGATGATGAAAAGCTGGTAGGGCTCACTTTACCACCCTTGCTTTTCCTCTGACCAGAGCCAGATGCCCCTAAGAGAGAGCAATTTTCGTATTTAGATGGTCAGAAGCAATTTGCCAAAGTTTCCTGCCAGTATTTTTCAATTTTAGGCAGTTATTTACACTACACTGCAAATGCCAGGAACAATGCAATATAATTAAGCACCATCTGATAACTGCTAAAAGGCCAGAGAGCAATCAGCTGACGAACTCCAACTGCTGACTGAGTATCTTTTTACATGAATGCCATTAAAACCACAACACAAACTGCTAAGCTTAGGGCTCACCCCTGTGGTAACACAGAAATACCGGCATATTTGTGGAGTTATAGAAAGGACTTACGAAGAGGAATTGCATTTTTTTATTTTTAATTTTGCAACTAATTTCCCAAGAAGTCATGGACATCATTTCTCAAAACTGTAAAAAGTGCATAGTGAAGCTCACCTATTTCCAGAAAGATTTCAAGTACTATTAGGTAGAACAGGCTACAGAAGTATAACCATCACAACCAGTTTAAAACAAGATGAACCAGCTGCTTGTATCACAAGTGGAAAACCAAAAACCTCATCAAAATAAATGTAAGTATACAATCCTGTCAGCTGTTTCAGGATTTGTTTTGTTTTTAAAATCTGTAATAAATAAAAGGCTTGGATGACTTCTTTTTAAACACTCAACTTCCCTCTACAGTGTTTATTCAACCTACCTAAACCAATTAGAAATACAAGACTCTAGATCACTTTGAGAAGCACATAGTAGCACTAAGGCAACACGTGGTGAAAAGTGGACTATGGGAGTCTTGAATACAAACAGAAATAGGAATTTTCTGAGGTGATTTTAGGACACATGCAGATTAAGTGCAATCATCTTTTTAAACTAATGTCTGAAAGACATGTTTGATGATACAGGCACACTTAGAACTAGCTTTGTAAAGCAGTTACCCTTCTGTGTGATAGTTCACTGAACCATACAGAATTTATGCAGGTATACCTTTTACGGATACAGAAATATGGCACTGCTCAATTCAGAACTAGTCTCTTAACTCACCTTAAAAATTATCACCTTGATTTTCAGAAGCAGAAGTTATTAAGAGAGAGCAAGGAAGAACTAAACTATATATAATGTTCCACTAAGCTGTACATATATGTGATGTTCCACCCCGGCCCCAAGGCTAGACACAATTCAAACATCTGAGCTCATGCAAATCTAGTGAGCCATGGACCATGTTTGATCTGACAAAGTAATGGCATATAATTCACATCAGACAGCTTTGAGTCAAACCACAGTTTAAGAGAAAGAGGATACATCTGAAAACATGACCTAAACCTCACCCTGCACAAGAAATCTCTACATGGCTAAAATCTAGAAATACTCAAACCTTTCTCTTGGATAATTAAGAAATAAATTCCTTAATAACTGTGTACGCAGTGTTAAGTGAAACACAGAAACAGAAAAAATCCAGCTGATGTTTTCATTGTCTGTACTGAGTAAAAGAGAACCCGCTAGGTAAGACTAAAAGCATAAACAACAGAAAGCAATGTGAGCTTAACTTTTTAATAAGAAAATAAAAAGCAGATGAAGAGATGGAGGGATAGTGTCTTGTTAACAACCATGAAACATATGGTGCAGATTTCTTTGTAAACTTACTGTGAATTTGATATTCCACAGAATGTGATTATCCCGAGTAACAGATGGTACACCACATGCATAATTATTTTAACTAGCAATAAACCGGATGGGATGTTTAAGAATGTACTCAGATACCTGCTCCCATTTCACTGCTAAAAACCCTAATTGTATTTAGTAAATTTAACAAAATTAATGGCTTCTCACCTGTGCTGCTCCCATTCCCTTTTTGTTTTCTTTTCTTAGCTAACTGAATGGCTCTGTAGTCTGTTCTCGCAGACCCACTGCTCTCCTGGAAAAAGAAAAAAAAAAGCCAAGAGATGCAAAGTTTTTTGAATTCAAGAACAAACCAAGACAATGAACACAGACTAATGAGTTCTAATTCCCCATGCTCTTCTGATTAGCGTTTCAATAAATTCCTTGTATATACTAAATCTCTGGAGTTCAACACAAAAGGTAGGTAGCTCCACATTTTTAAGTGTTCAGATTTTAACAGGGCAAACATTTACTTTGTAATGTAAATAAACAGTTAAGTTCACAGTAACATAGGGAAA